TTTTTATATCTTATTCACGAACATGGCTTGTTTCTGTGTCCCCACTCAAATCTAATGTCGAATTATAATCCCCAATGTTAGTCACCTGGTGGCAGGTGACTGAATTATGGAGGTGGATCCTTCCTGAATGGTTTAACATCACCCCTTCAGTGCTGTTCTTGTGACAGTGAGTGAGTTATCATGAGATCTAGCTGTTTAAAAATGTGTAGCACCTCGCACTCTCTCTTTTCCTCCTGCTCTGCCGTGTGAGACACGCCTGCTTTCCCTTCACCTTCTGCCATGATTGTAAGTTTCCTGAGGCCTCCCCAGAAGCAGAAGCCTCTATGCTTTCTACATAGCCTGAAGAACCACAAGCGAATTCAACCTCCTTTCTTTATAAATTACCCAGTCTTAGGTCTTTTTTTTTTTTTTTTGACAGGATCTCACTCTCTCACCCAGACTGGAGTACAGTGGTATAATCTCGGTCCACCGCAACCTCCGCTTCCTGGGCTCAGATGATCCTCCCACTTCAGCCTCCCAAGTAGCTAGGACTACAGGTATGTGCCACCACCATGACAGGTTAATTTTTGTATCTTTTGTAGAGATAGGGTTTCACCATGTTGTCCCTGCTGGTCTCAAATTCCTGAACTCAAGCAATCCACTTGCCTCGACCTCCCAAAATGCTGGAATTACAGGTGTGAGCCACCGCTCCTGGCCAGGTACTTCTTTACGGAAGTGCAAGAAGGGACTAATATAGATGAAATACGTTAACCAATTGTGTTTTCTACTTAAAACTGGCAGTTGGAAAGCTTATAGACAAACTTATGCCCTATCAATAGCAAGTATGTAAAAACTTCTTGGCCGGGCGCAGTGGCTCATGCCTGTAATCGCAGCACTTTGGGAGGCTGAGGCGGGCAGATCACAAGGTCAGGAGATGGAGACCATCCTGGTTAACACGGCGAAACCCCGTCTCTACTAAAAATACAAAAAATTAGCCAGCTTGGCAGTGGCATGTGCCTGTAGTCCCAGCTACTTGGGAGGCTGAGACAGAATGGCGTGAACCCGGGAGGTGGGGCCTGCAGTGAGCTGAGATTGCGACACTGCGCTCCAGTCTGGGTGACAGAGCAAGACTCAGTCTAAAAAAAAAAAACAAAAACAAAAACAAAAACAAAAACAAAACAAAAAAAAATTTATTAGTACATTTCCTTATAGTAGCCTCATTTCTAGCTCTATTTCATGTCCCTGACTTCTTTGTTGTTCCCTATTTTAAGTGAAGAAAGTGGATCCACATGGGGCTTACAGGGACACACAGGGAATAATAGCCATACTTTAAGTCAGCATGGTGATAGCAATAGTAACTTGCAAAGGGAAGGAGACTCTCTTGGGACTCTAATTATCAGGTCCCAAATTTCCACCCCATATGGGGGTTCTTCCTTCACTGCCTAGCATTTGAAAATTTGAATTTGACTGCTCTTGCCATTGCTGACTACAACTGAGTCAGCATCTCCCAAAACTCTGTTAATGGAAGAGAGTTTTATCATGGAGATCAATGTTAGGAAGAAAACAGACACTCTATCTGTATGATCCAATTCAATATTATGGTAACAGAAAAGGTGTGGAAATTGTGTAGAGATCCATGGGAGATTATTGTTGAATTAAGACTTACATATCTATAACAGATCAGTTTTGTTTGTTTGTTTTTATTGAGGGATAATTTTAAAAGTCTATGTGTGTAAGCATCTCACATGAAGAGGGAATTGGAACTATGTCTCTGGTAAAAAAAAAAAAAAAAAAAAAAAAAACCTGAGAATTTTGGAAAGCTATCCTATCTGTGAAATTGAGACTAGGAACAATCCCATCCACTAGCCTGGGAAAGTGTCAATAGATCTTGAAGTTAACCAGGAGCCCGGGTGGAAAATATATAACTCATGGGAAATCAAATATAAGGTTATAGAGTCCAAATTTTCAGTACCTTTCTCTTGCAGGAAACCAAAGTGATAAATTAACATTAAAAATTATCTAGGCTTAGCCAGGTATAGTAGTCCATGCCTATAGTCCCAGCTACTAGAGAGGCTAAGGCAGGAGGATCACTTGAGCACAAGAGATCAAGGCTCCAGTGAGCTATGATGGCACCACTGCACTCCAGCCTCAGCAACAGAGAAAGAACCTGTCTCTAAAAAAGAAATTAAGGCATGGCGTGATGGCTTACATCTGTAATCCCAGCATTTTGGGAGGCCAAGTGGGGAGCGGATCACTTAAGGCCAGGAGTTTGAGACCACCTGTGCAACATGGTGAGACCCCATCTTTACTAAAAAAATACAAAAATTAGCTGGGTATGGTGCAGCATGCCTGTAATCCCAGCTACTCAGGAGGCTGAGGCAGGAGAATCACTTGAACTCCAGAGGAGGAGGTTGCAGTGAGCTGAGATTGCGCCTCTGCACTCCAGCCTGGGTGAATAAAGTGAGACTCTTTCTCAAAAAAAAAGTAAATAAAAATAGGCCAGGAGCAGTGGCTCATGCCTGTAATCCCAGCACTCTGGGAGGCCAAGGCAGGTGTATCACTTGAGGCCAGGAGTTCAAGACCGCATGGCCAGTGTGGTGAGACACTGTCTGTAATAAAAATACAAAAATTAGCTGGGCATGGTGGCACATGCCTGTAATCTCAGCTACTCATGAGGCTGACGCACAAGAATCGCTTGAACTCAGGAGTGGGGAGATTGCAGTGAGCCTAGATTGCACCATTGCACTCTAGCCTGGACAACACAGTGAGACCCTGTCTCAAAAATAAATAAATAAATAAAATACAAAATAAACTAAAAAAAAAAAAAAAAAAATTGGGCCGGGCACGGTAGCTCACGCCTGTAATCTCAGCACTTTGGGAGGCCTAGGCAGATGATCACTTGAGCCCAGGAGTTCAAGACCAGCCTGGGCAAAATGGTGAAACCCTGTCTCTGCAAAAAATAATACAAAAATTTAGGTGTGGTGGTGCACCCCTGTAGTCCCAGCTACTTGGGGGCTGAGGTGGGAAGATCATTTAGACCCAGGAGATGGAGGCTGCAGTGAGCGAGATTGAGCTACTGCACTCCAGCCTAGGTGTCAGAGTGTCTCCAAAAAAAAAAAAAAAAAAAATTGATCTAGGATTTGTGAGACTCTAGGACTGAAGTAGAAGCAAACTCAAAATAGTTTTGCAGTGATACTTTGACAATTCAGAGCACAAAGGAGTCACCACCATCACCTTCCAAAAAAATGAAACACTAAGGTAACTTTACAATAAGAAATTATTAACTACACGAGGAAGCAATCTACCTCGAGGGAGAATTGGCAGATGCAACAAACAGGGAGAAGCAGTATTTTCATGGTCTGAAGAAAATATAGCAATCTGTAAGATTAAAATAGAAGTATGTTTAAAATAATTAAAGATACTGAGACAGCCAGGTGGGAGAGGGTCCCTGGCAAAACTCTAACTGACTGGCACACTGGGGCAGAGCCACAGAAGTTCACCCCATTTTCAGGTGGGAGGAGCCTAGCCCCTCCTCTTCCTGTGTGTGGAACCTGGGATTCAAGCTGTGAGGCGAGAAGCACACCAGAGGAACTCTGGCCTTGTGGAGAGTCCCTGTTTCTCCCTTTATTTCCTTTTCACCCAATAAAACCCTATCTGACCCTTCAAACTATCTGCGAGTCTGAACTGGCCTTGTCCCTGGCCATGGGACAAGGACCCCGTCTTTAGCTGAACTAAGGAAAAATCCACTAATGATATCATCATGAAAGAACAATGGGATGTGAAAAGAATAGGCAGAGAGAGAGAAAGACCAAATATAACTTTTAGAAATGAAAACCTGTTTAAATATCAGATTCAACACTGAATAGAGAATTAGCAAACTGGTGGATAGATTTGAACAAAGTACTCACAATATAACTCAGAGATAAAGAGGTGGAGATTCATCAAGAAATAGAAGCAGAAACAAGGATAAATGGGTGAGAAGGTTAATGTTCTATGTATCTAGCGTGTCTAACATGTCAAAGACAAAGTGCACCAAGAAATTAAGGAGATGATTTTATTCAGTCTATAGCAATAGATGAATGTTCATTAATGAGGAATGTTTCAGTGAAAAGGAAGGGAACCTGGGTTTGCAGAGGCAGGTAAACAAGAGTCGTCGAGAGTCTAACTGAGTCATGAGGAAGGATGGAGATGTGTCTTATATCAGACTATACAAGGGCAGGGTGCCCTTTGAGGTTAGCTGTTTCCAGAATACAAAAACAAGGGTAGATTTCTTAACCATCCCTGCTTTCCAGAAGCACAGATTTCAGATGAAGTTCAACATTACCAAATAGGAGTTCCAGAAAGACAAAGTAGAAAGAATAGAGGGTATCTGAAAAAGATAAAATCAGAAAAATATTTAGAATTAAAGAGAGACATAAGTCCTCAGAATGATGAAGTACATTGGGTCTCAAATAAAGTTAAGCAAAACATGAGTCATACCTAGACGTGATAGAAAAACTACAAATATAAAGAAATATTAAAATGTCATTAATCAAGAATATTTTTCTTGCTCGTTTTAAAAAATCTTGCCACAATTTGATTACTGGTTTTATACAGTTAAGGTTATAATTTTTATTGAAATTAAGAAGTTAAGCAAAATCAAAATCAGTTATTAAAATAAGCCTTGGAACTCACATCGCTAGTAAGTGGTTGAGTTGGGCCTTCAAGCCACATCTTCTGATTCAAAAGACTATTTATACCATTTTATTCTAGTGATACCATGAAGCCTATAGCACCTCCTTCTCAATTTAGTATGTTTCATTTAGCCTAAGGAAAAGATTGAAGGTTGTTGCAACTACATATACTTTATATTTCTTCTTAAGTGTCACAATTGAGTACAATTAGAGTTCAATTTCTCTTTACAATGGATGTTCCCAGAGGGTAAACAGAGAAAGAATGTATGCACTCTTTAAGCAAAGCTTTATTTTTCTCTATATGTCAGCATGCAAAATCCCCTAGCAACATTTGACTTTAATACTTACAGAAATCAGATTGGTCTCCCTTGTTAGAGTGGGCATATTGATGGCCCGTGTTATTTCCTCTATATAGAGTTCCAGCTGTGTTGTCAGTCAGCAGTACCCCTTTCTGAGGGCTGAAGAGCATCTTTTTGAAAGCATTGCCCTAAAGCTGCTGCTGCCACTCCTACCATGCTCCAAATCATCAGCTTTCTAATGTGCCCTGAGAACCCTGGGCAAAGGGACAAAAAAACCATTATTTTAGACTTCAGTTCAGTTGGGGATCAGAAGTTGTATGGAGCCACTGAGTGGAGGCATTTAATGTATTCATACAATAAATGTTTGAACACCTGTTATGCATTCACATTGTGCTAGGCACTAGGGATCTGCTATCAAGAGACAATCCCTATCCTCATGTAGCTCACAGATTAGGCTGGCAAACTGACATTTAAAAAATACTGTAACTACACAAGTAACTCAGCCTCCTTTTCATCTCTTGCTAACCTTGATGCAGGACACAGCATCTCTCTCTTTTCCAGTAAATAAATAGACAACCTGTTCTGCACCAAAAGCATTAATGAACTGCATAGGTGTTGACCAAGATTTTGTGTAGTAAACTCCTACACAAAAAAATCTTACAAAATCTCCTATACAAATCCTATGGGAAACTCCCACACAAAATCTTACAAAATCTCCTATACAAATCCTATGGGAAACTCCTACACAAAATCTTACAAAATCTCCCATACAAATCCTATAGGAAGCTCCTACACAAAATCTCCTATATAAATCCTATAGGAAACTCCTATGCAAAATCTCAGCCTGACATCCCCAATTCTCTTTGGAAGTATCTGGTCTCCAAGCTGGATTCTTCTTTGCCCTGGACCCGTTTCCCAACCTTGTGGTCTTGTGTCTCCCTCTCCTGTTTTTTCCCCCTGGAAATTTTGTTTTCCTGTAGCGCCACCCTGTCCCCTTCCTGGTGAGCAGTTCAGCTGTGCCTGGGAGTTCACCTCCAGCCTTGCATACTGGTAGCACTTTGGGGCCCTCCAGCAGCTGGAACCCACCTCCTCAGAAGATGGTATGTGTGTTTGGGGGTGGGGAGTATAAATAACATGGAAATCAGGTTGTGCTGCACTTACATAGGGAGTAATTATAATTGTGTTTATTTGATAGAGGGAGGCACAGGTGCCAGGAGACTGAGTAAGAAGTGAGTGTGTGAGACAGCTGCTCGCCAGCCACATCAGGCCCTGGCCCCTGAGTCAGCCTGTGTCTAATTAGGAGCAGGCTTCAATCGCCGTCTGAATAATTCTCTGGGATTGAGTTTCTTCCTGAATGACTCGATTCACACTGGATAAGAAACTGTCTCTCTCCACTAGGAAGTGGAATAAAACAACTGACTCACATTTCACGCTTCCGTTTTTGCCAAGTGGAGATGATAATGTCTCAGTTACTCGGATGTGGGCTAGAGCTGAATCTGCTTTTTATAACTGACTGATTTAGCAAGGAAGTGAAAATCTAGGTACTGAGATGGAGCAGGGACCCCTTTTAGGGGTCTGTGGGCTCCCCAAGCATGGAAATAAAGGAATATCTTGAGCTCCTTCAAGGGAAATTTCAGACACCTAGCTAGCCCTGAAAGTGAATCAGCAGCTTGATAAACAAGAAGGTAATGGTAGTCCCAGCTACTCGGGAGGCTGAGGCAGGAGAATGGCCTGAACTCTGGAGGCGGAGCTTGCAGTGAGCCGAGATCGCACCACTGGACTCCAGTCTGGGTGACAGAGCGAGACTGTGTCTCAAAAAAAAAGAAAAAGGTAATGGTAGCCCGAAACGAAGAAGGTAATGGTAGCCTGAAACAATAGCCAAGGAACTGATAGTCCCAAGATGTTTGGTTCCCTATAAAAACTAAAGATAACATCTTAATATATGTCCCTGAGTTATTTTTCATAAACCTGGACCTCCAACAAATGGACACACTGGCACGTAGACCTCAGGTAAGGGAGAACTGAGGACTGAATTCTGACAACCATTCTTTGTTCTAGATTTCTTCCTGAGGGTCCTGGAGGAAGTCACACCCATGAGCCAGAGCTAACATTCTTTCTGCTGACCATAAATTATTAAACAAAGCTTCTCTTCCTTAACCAATTGCACATCAGAAAATCTTTGAACCTGCCTATGACCTGTAAGCTCCTGCTTCAAGATATCCCACCCTTTCAGGCCATAACCCACATGTAGCCTCCATGTATTGATTTATGATTTTGCTTGTAACTTCTGCTTTCCTGAAATTTACCCATTTTTAAAAACCCTTACTTGCAAGTCATTGGGGAAGTCAGGACATAAGCTTTAGCTGCCAATTCTCCTTTCTTGGTGCCCTGCAAATAAATACCTTCCTTTCTTGCCACTTCAAACCTCAGTGTGGATGTCTGGCCTTACTGTGCCAGGCCAGTGGAGACCAGTTTGATTCTATAATAGTACCGTAAAGCCAAGGGAGCCATAATGAGTCAAGTTCTGGGTCCTAGCCTCCACATCAAATCTTAGAGTGGGATTATTCCTCAACCAGGTGGTCTGGTCTCACTCTAGACAAGGCCTATGAGGTCCTGTGGGTTCAGAAGACCCCTCCCACCAAGGCCCACCTTTCCTGGATATCTTCTGGAGGAGGTAAAAATTCTAGGTATCCTTTAAACACCTATGATGTCCTAGACCCAGACACAGAGCATGATGCTTTAGAGACTATTGGTGGATGCCACTTGTAGATACTGGAAAAGAGAGTTTGAGAACATATGGCAAAGACTAAATTCAAAGACTAAGCTGAGAACAAACCTGACCACCATGGCCAAAAGTAGGAACAGTCCCCAGATCTAGAGAACTGGGCACTTCAGGTGCCCAGGACCTGTGGTATTTGTGGAGAGGCGAGGACTTTGACATGAATTTATGTGTGTATTAGTTCATTTTCACATTGCTATAAAGAACTTCCCTGAAACTAGGTAATTTATAAAGGAAAAAGGTTTAATTCACTCACAGTTCCACATGGCTGGGGAGGCCTCAGGAAACTTACAATTATGGCGGATGGGGAAGCAGGCACCTTCTTTCACAGGGTGGCAGCAGGGAGAAGAGTGTGAGCCTGTGAAGGAGGAAATGTCAAACACTTATAAAACCGTCAGATCTTGTGAGAACTCACTCACTATCATGAGAACAGCATAGGGGAAACCGCTTCCATGATCCAATCAACCCCCTCTCTCCACACATGGGGATTACAATTTCAGATGAGATTTGGGTGGGAACACAGAGCCAAACTATTTCAATGTGCCTTTGAATTACCAATAGTGATTGAGAAAGGCAGCCAGTAGGATCCTGCTTTTTATTCTCTTAATATTATTTCATGTATAGTTCCCCATGTCATTTCATATTGGAAACACGGTAGTTCTACCAACTATTACAAAAAAAAAAAAGAAGAAATCCATAATTTATATGCACACAATTGTGCCACAGTATTACTCACTGTGTCCTGGAAATGTGTCCACAAGATATTTAGCATCATGGTAAGTACATTGTACCACACTGAGGTGACAAATTTTCTTCAGCTGCATTATGATCATCAATAGGGAGTTCACACATTCTCCCCACCCACATGGTTGGTTGCAGGACATGATCTTGTTGTTTTAAAGAGCAACCTGCCAATGAAAAAAATGATCACTTTTGACCCTTTCCCTCAAGATTCAACAAAACTAAGAATTGACAAACTGAAGTCTTTATTGGGTAAAATCTGTAAAATTACAGTGAGCTGACATTTGCTGAGCTTGGAATACATACTAAGAAATACAACAACCATGCAATATAAGCACCTTTATTATCCCTATTTTGTAGAGCAGGAAACCAAACCTTAAAAAAGGTTAAGTAACTAGGCTAGAGTCATCCAGTAAACAAATAGTGGTACCAGGACTCAAATCAAATCTTTCTGGGGTCAAGCCCACATGTATAGCCATTCTGCTCTTTCCTGGGAATGCACGTCGGATACCCTTAGGAATCTTTTCTGATGTTTAGGTTCATAGTGTGTTGGTACTGCACCCTGGTTTTCCTCTCTTCCGCAGTGTGCTCTGAGCAAAACAGTTCTTCCCATGATCGAGAGACTCTTTATCAGAATAATTGTATCATGACTACTCTGTTCCCTGGCCCTTCTGTCCTCAATCAAGTCAAGCTAGATAACCATATCAAATAGTGGATTCTGATTTTAAATTCACCACCCCCAGGAAATGGAAAGCCACCAATCTGTTTAGATCAGTGGTCTCCAAACTTTTTGGCACCAGGGATTGGTTTTGTGGAAGAAAATTTTTCCACAGAGGGGTGGGGATGTGGGGATGGTTTTGAGATAAAATCGTTCCACCTCAGATCATCAGGGATTAGTTAGATTCTCATAAGGAGCACACAACCTAGATCTCTCAAACACGCAGTTTACAATAGGGTTCGCGCTCCTATGAGAAACTAATTCTGCTGCTGATCTGATAGGAGGTGGAGCTCAGCCGGTAATGCTCACCTCCCCACCGCCTCTTACCTCCTGCTATACAGCCTGGTTCCTAATAGGCCACAGACCAGTACCTGGGGCCCAGGGGTTGGGAACCCCCGTTTAGATGATCCTATAGAAAAATCAGTTCTGCCCAGGCCTGACCCAGCTTGAAACCTGAAGTGGATGAAAGCACAGGCCTGAGGCAACATACCGTTTAGAGTCACTAAGATGTCATTAGAACCCGTCAGAAGTTTCTCACTGAAGTCAAAAGCATCCTCATGTGGAATAAAAGAAAATGCTTACCATGGAAGGAGCCCTTCTGTGATGTTCATTGGAACTGTAAGGTCCTCTGAGCTGGCCACACATGGTCAAGCCATCGTGACATTTTCCCCGCCCTTGTGATAATGTACTTTGTGATATTCCCCGTCCTTGTGAATGTACTTTGTAACATTCCTCACCACCCTTGTGACAATACATTCTCCATGCCCTTGTGAATGTACTTTGTAACATCCATCCCCTACCCACAAAAAATTGCCCCTGACTCCACCGCCTATCCCAAACCTATAAGAACCAATGATAATCCCACCACCCTTCACTGACTCCTTTCTCGGACTCAGCCCACTTGCACCCAAGTGAATAAACAGTCTTGTTGCTCACACTAAGCCTGCTCAGGTGGTCTCTTATACGGACGTGAGTAACAGGAACTTGAATAACCATAGCTGTGCCACGAACCCTGGGGCCTTCCAGGTAATAATGCCTTAGGTCAGTTGAAATTCTTAAACTAAAGAGTAATTTATTTTATTATCTAAGTTGTAAACTTTTTATATACCTTCCAATAAATTTTCTCTCCCCTCCCCACCCCTAAAAAGTCACAAAGCAAAACTGAAATTAACATTGTAGAAAAGTGAAAAATGTTTTGGCAACATGAAAGTCCCCAAAAGAACCTTTAAAAACAATTTGAACAAGATTTTATAATTAAATACACATACATTTTCTCTATTCATAGGGACTATAAATGACTTATGATACTGAGTGGTAAATAATGGGAAAATAGTGGCATGAAAAATCACTTCAGACAGGTTAAAATATCGTATTAGATAATGGAAGCCATGTGTTCCAATGTCAAAGGGAGTTAACACATAGAAATAGGGAAAGGTGAGAATCAACACTGTGGTTGGTGGAGTTGGAAAGGTAATCTCAAAGTATTCTGCCTACAAATTACTTACTAATTACAAATGGGGGAAATATTGATAGCAACTTTACATCATCAGTAATACATTAACATAATCAATAATGGAACAAGCTGATGCTGTGTGCCTCCTGATATGGTGCACAGACTAGGGTACAATATTATGCCTGTCGTATTTCTGCCAAAAAAGGTATAACCTGAATCTAATTATGCAGAAACTTCAAAGTAAAATTTAAAAATATCTTATAAAATAACTAGCCTTTACTCACAATTTTCAAAAATATGAAAGACAAGGAGAGATAAAGAAGCTGTTACACACCATAAGAGACTAAAGAGACATGACAACTAAATTCACAAGATGCTCCTGGATTGGGTCCTGGGACACGAAAAATAACAACCACAAAAAAACATTACTCGGACAATTAGAGCAATTCAAATCTGAATTTTAGGTTATAGTATTACATCAAAGTTATGGTTTATGATGTTGATCATTGTAGTGTGGTTCCGTAAGAAAAGTCCCTGCTTTTAGGATATACAAACTATAAAGAATTTGTGGCTAGCAGATTATAATATGTGAAAATTACTTTCAAATGGTTTAGGAAAACATAGAGTGAGTGAGAGCAAATGGTAAAGCATATGGAATGAAACATTAACAATTGGTGAATCAGAATAAAGGGAACACAAGTGTTTCTTATATTATTCATGTGACTTTTTTGAAAGTCTGAAATTGTATTAAAATAAAAATGTTTAAATGTCCTGTCTCACAGCATTCAATACATCTCTTTTAAGAACATAAAGAGTGTATACTTTCTTTTTGCTGCTGTCACAAACACATTAGCTTAAAACAACACAAATATATTATCTTACATGCCTTTTTCAGCTTCTAGAGGCTACCTGCACTTCTTGGCTCATGGCTCCTTCCTTACCTCACTCTACCTCTACCTCAACCTCACATCTCCTTCCCTGATCCTGACTCTTGCCTCCTGCTTATGAGGACCTTTGTGAACACTTGTGTATAAGCCACAGAATGGTTGGCTTAAACCAGGGGTCCCCAACTCCTGGGCCACAGACCGGTACAAGTCCATGGCCTGTTAGGAACCAGGCTGAACAGCATGAAGCGAGTGGTGGGCCAGCCAGCATTACCGCCTGAGCTCCACCTCCTGTTAGATCAGCAGTCGCATGATATTCTAATAGGAGAACGAACCCTATTGTGAACTACACATGCAAGGGATCTAGGTTGTGCACTCCTTATGAGAATCTAAGTAATACCTGATGATCTGAGGTAGAAAAGTTTCATCCCGAAACCATCCCTGCCTCCCATCCGTGGAAAAATTGTCTTTCAGGAAACCGATCCCTGGTGCCAAAAAGGTTGAGGACAAATGACTTAAACAACAGAAATTGATTTTCTCACATTTCTGGAGACTGGAACTAATCAAGGGCTGGTTTCCTCTGCGGCCTCTCTGGTTTGCTTTAAATGGTCATCCTTGTGGGCATGCACACAAGGTATCTCGTTTTATGTCCATATTTCCTGTCCTTACAAAGAAAACCAGTCAGGTTGACTTAGAATCCACCTTGATGGTCTCGTTTTAACTTAATCACCTCATTTAAGGCCCTGTTTCCAAATATAGTCACAACCCAAGGTACAGGAAGTTAGGGCTTCAATATATGAATTTTAGGGGAATGCAGTTCATCCCACAACAGTCACATAAATATAAAGACACATGCCTTTCTTATTCTCCCTCCTTCTCACTCCAACCACAGAAGAGGGAGGGCAGGAAAAGTAAAAAGGCGAGTCATGCCCTTCTTTACCTCAAGCCCTTTCCTGAAGCTAACCCTGGCCTGGTGGTTTGAGAAAGAGAATGAACATCATATTGGATGTAAGATTTAGTTTTTAAACTAATCTAGATAGGAAAGCACATTTTAATAATTAAAAGTAACCAGAAAGCTATGAGATCTGCCCAAGATATTCTTAAGGGCAGGAAACGGAGATTTCATGGAATATGGTTGAAAGAAATGATTGGAAAAAAAACTAAAACAGTTCATATTTCTGTTCTGTTGAGTGTAGACTATTGAATAAACTGAGCATAATATATGTTCATAAGTAAAGAAGCCTGTGATATGTAATTTACTGATTAAAACAAATTGAGACTAATGATGCACATCATGATAATACTTGGATAAAAGATTGTGATAGGTGCCTACTGTTATTGGCTGCCAAGCACTCCTTCCCCTACTTTGTCTAGTAACCTTCTCCAGCAGTACATTAGACATGTGACTCCAGCTGAGCTTCTCATAATACCTCACACCCTTGGCTGGAGTGGTTAATCAACAGGCTAAACCAATCAGAAACATTACCTGGGATTTTTCAAGCTGGGAGACCAACACCTCTTTTTACTTCAGTCATAAAGTTGTAAGAGACTCAGAGCCAGGAGGTCCTGGTGGCCACATCCTTGACTCATGGAAAGCCCAATGTGGGAGAATGAAGCCAACACACCTTGAGACATAGAGATGAGAGACAAAGACAGTGATTCCTGGTGATGTTCTAGTCCTGGCTTCATTCATCTCTAATGTAGGTAATTCTACTCATATGCTTCCAGAATTTTGGTTATCCAAGCCAAGAAAATCTTTCTGCTTAAGCCAGTTTGCTTTGGTTTCTATCCCTTGAAACCAAAGAATCTTGAAAAAAAAATATGTATTTATGTGGTGTAATTGTGTTTCATGGAAAATATCTGGAAAGATACATACTAAATTGTTAATAATGGTTAATTCTCATTAACATTCTGCTTCCCCCCACTGTTTCATATTCTTTATATTAATTGTTCGCTACAGTTATAATAAAATATGTTTAGGAAAATGAGAACACAAACTAGTATACCCCTGATGATAGTCAAGAAAAATGTTTTCATATATAGTGAATAAGAGGATAAAATTAATTTAGAATAAGAGACGTTTCGTTTAACATTTTTAAATGGTAAACCACAGCCCTACAAAGATAAAGGGGATGTTTCAATAGTCATATACAGAAAGAGCACTAAATATATACGGGACAACCAAATAATACTGATGCAAGAATGTAAATGTCCTCCCCACCCAATACCATGGAAACCTCAGGATCTGCCTATGGGGTCACCTCTGAGATCTCTTACGTGCATAGACTCATCTGCTTCCCATGCAACACTGATATATTACTTGATCGTTGTTGGTCCTTGTCTTAGCTACCTATGGCTGCATTACAAATGACCCCAAAACTTAGCAGCTTAAAAGAATAGGCGTTTATTATCTCAGAGTTTCTGTGGGTCAGGAATGGGGGTATGGCTTAGCTGAGTGCCTCTGACTCAGGATCTGTCAAAGGCTGTGATCAGTGCGTCATCTAGGGCTGCAGTCATCTCAGGGCTCAACCGAGGAAGGGTCCTTTTCCAAAGTCACTCACTTGGCTGCAGGCAGGCCTCAGGTGCTTGCTGGCTATTTGCTTGGGACATCAGTTACTTGTGATCTGGGCTGTTCATAACATGACAGTTCACTTTCCCAAAACTGAGAGAGAGACAGAGCGAGAGAGAGAGAGACAGAGACAGAGAGAGAGAGAGAGAGAGAGAGAGAGAAAGGAAAGCAAGATGGAAATCATAGTCAACCAGGCCTGATTTTGCCCTCAGGGGGACCTTTGGCAATATTTAGAGGCATTCTTGGTTGCCACGACTGTGGGAAGGAGAAGGAAGGTACTACTAGTATCCTGTTTGTAGAGATCAGGGATGTTGTTACACGTCCTACAATGCACAAGACAGCTCCCTACAACAAAGAATGACCTGGCCAAAACGTTAAAGTGCAAAGTTGAGAAGCCCTGACCTTGAGTGTTGAATGTTTGCAGAGCACATTATGTACATTCCCCTGATCCTCATACGACTCTATAAGGTAAGAGTTATTATCTCTTCCTTTTATTGCTGGGGAAACTGAGGCTTACAGGAGTCCAGTGATTTGCTCTAAGCAAGCAAGTAGGGAGGCTGGATTTGAACGAAGGTTTGGTCTCATTCCATTGCCAGGCTCTTTCAGTGTGAAGCAGGAACAGAGAGAGGTAAGAAAAGGAACAAGCTCTGGGAGAGGGGAGGGGAGAAATGCCCTCTCTGCCAGGAAATGTTCCAGATGCCATTCTTGTCACCTCATTTGAAACTCGCAATGAGGCAAGAACATAAGCCTGAGCAGACTCTGTTCTCTGGGAGAAGACAGTTTGGCAAGGTCCTGGTTTGCATCATTGTTGAGCTGGAGCTGTGGATTGCTATGGTTCCTGGAAATCCACAGTGTCCACACTACCGCACCCTCTCCCTTTTTGGGGCCCCAGCTGGGTCCGTATGAATCACTTGTGACTGCTCGGAGGAGCCATGCTGAGCTCCCCTCCATTCTGCTTTCAATACGGTAGGCCTGGCCTCCTTGGTGCCCAGGGACACACCACCAATAAGAGCACATTGTGAAGCCATCTGATAAGTACATTTCACATTTCTTGTGATTTCACTCTAATTGTGTTCCCCACCCTACCTTCCCCTTTTAAGACTTTCAGAATTATTTCCTTCTGATCCCCTTGGTCAGAATTTGAACATTTCATTTCCCAAATGTCATTTTGAGATAGATTCTCTATCATAATTATGCCCTCCCACAGTACCTTCTAGATGGGGATTCAGGATTCACCTCTTGATTTAAAGGGTTTGTTGTTTTTGGTTTGGGTTTTGGTTATGAGATGGACTCTTGCTCTGTCACCCAGGCTGGAGTGCAGTGATGCAATCTCGGCTCACTGTAGCCTCCGCCTTCTGGGTTCAAGCAATTCTCCTGCCTCAGCCTCCCGAGTAGCTGGGATTATAGGTGCCCGCCACCATGTCTGGCTAATTTTTGTATTTTTAGTAGAAACGAGGTTTCACCACGTTGGCCAGGCTGGTCTCAAATTCCTGATCTCAAGTGATCCACCCGCCTTAGCCTCCCAAAGTGCTGGGATTACAGGCGTGAGCCACCATGCCCAGCTTTGATTTAAAGGGTTTGGATAGGACTTACTCCTTCTAGAAAGGGAACACGCAAGTCCATTTTGAGGAGGTTCTAAAACAAACAAAGAAGACAAAAAGTAACAAAACAAACAAACAAAAAACAGCAAGAAGCTGTGAGTGACACAAACTTTTATATGATTTGTATTAAAAATTTTCAGGTGTGCAGGCACTATGCAAGCTCTTAGTTCTTATTTAAAGTTTTACATAAAAGAAAAATTTGGCAGGGGGAAATAGTTTTCTCCACCCAGGAGCTGTAAAAATGAATGAACATCTATCTCCTTAGTTGAGAATTTGTAGGTCTATGCCTGCTGGGATTTCAAAGGGCATACATTCTTTGGCCAAATATGACCTTGGCATATAACCAATCTCATAGGAGCATTAGTTGTTGCAGCTTGAGTCTGTGTTTGAGTGACTAATGTCATCTAACCTTGTTCTTACCATGACCTAAACTTTGGAGCAGTTCTTCAGCTGAACTTGCGGTGGATCTTGTACAAAATTATACAAGCTTCCTGAGTCCTTCCACTGTCAGCTGGTGTCCTGCAGGCTGCATCTAGAAACAGACAAAAGCTGGTCTGAAAACGGCAGTTACCAAGTAACAAAAATGAGTGGGGCCTTTTAAATTCAACAGGAAAACATAGTCTGCAAAACCACACGAAAAGAACAAATCAGGTGACATCTAGTAGCCTGCTCCTTCTACCAGGTTATTTACAGTTTCTGACTGGTTGGCATGGATTAGTTCTCTGATTCGGGTAACAAGTTAGTTATTGAATTACCAGGATTTTGTTTTGACAGAAATTTTCCTTCGGAGTTACCTTTTTTGCCCCCTGAATCTTTTTGGTTTCTTGCTATCGTATATAGAAATTCATTACATAAGGATTTTCAAATATTTTTGGAAATGGCCACAGTAAGAAATTGATTTTATACAGTGACAACACATATACACACACACATACACACACACGCACTTGAAAAACTAAGAGAAAAATTCTACAGAAAGTATATTCACTCTTACTATGTATGACTCACTTTAATATTTTCCATTTATTTCCTTCCAGACTAGTCTAGCCTGGTCTGTTAAAAATGTTTTTGGCTGCCTATTAAATTAATTTCACAACCCATGAAAGGAACATGTCCTTCAGTTTGAAAAACATTATATTACTTGAACTGTGGTTTTAAAATGACAATTTATAGCATTCTGATGAAATTCAAAGTATAACTAGAAAGTGAATTTAATCAGTTTCCAGGATCGTTCCTGTGGTATCTGTAATTTTGCTTATCCAACTCCTCAGTGAAATTGTAGTGCACTTATAGTGTCACTCTTTTCTGTTTCAATTCTGATGGTTATACGTGAAAACTTTGCATTTACATCAGTCTCCTTTCTACGTCGTCAAACAGACAGGTTCTTTGGAGCTTCTTCCAGTGTTATACCCAGGAGGTTGGGAACATTGGAGAACATCGTGCCACTTGGCTGTGGTTGGGGTGTATGCAGAGACAAAAGAGTCCATGCTGGAAACAGCATGCCAAGGAAGTGCCAAGGCTTAATCAGAGCCATCAACCTGGAATCAGCACCAGGGAAAGACAGGGTAGCCAGCTGTAAGCCAAGTAAGATGGAGACTGTGAAAGTCATGGCCAGAAGGAAAAGGCAGTGGAGTATAAGGCAGTTCTGAACCAAACAATAAAAAGCTATGAGGGCTCTTTATACTGTTCTATGGCTCTGGTTAGGCGCATGCTTCAGATGCTTGAAGAGGAAACACCAAAGCTGTTTCCCAGAGCATCGCACTAGAATAAACTTTCACACTCACCTATAATAATTAATCCCATGAGCTATTTTCCCTTAAGAATCTGATATCAAGTTAAAGTTGTATAGTTCTTCTCACCCATATTATATAGTGGCAAATGCCAGACATTACATTGTTTCATCTATAAATATGTCAGTATGTACACAAAAATGGTTTTTTAAAAACAAAACCCCAAATCCATTATCACACCTAAACATTTTTAACAATGATTTCTGAATACTATTCAATGTTCACTTAGTAGTATTCATATTTACCTATATATTTTTTGTTTGCTTTTACATTTTTGTTTACTCTAACAAGGTTTTAAATTATGAGGGCCATACATTTTCATTCATTTAATGCATTTTAATACATTTTAATTGGTTGATTTGTCTCATTTGTCTTTTTTCATTTGTAACTTCTTTTTTTTTTTTTTTTTTTTTGAGTAGTTAAAAGGTAAAATCCAAAACTTCTTTAAATAATGGGATTTTTTCCAAGGAAATGCAAATTGTTTATTTTGTTTACCAAAATAAACTTGTTTACCGGATGAGAAAAATACCTCCTGGCCTGTGCAAATAGGGAGAAAAGCTTGCTTACGGTGATAGGAGATCCAGGGTGATGAAAACTAGGCCTACCTCACTGGGCTCCACTGTTCCTGAAATCTCCTTCATTGGACTCACTTTTTTATACTTCAGAAGAGCCTCTTTTTAAACACAGCTGCATTAAATTCCCTTGCTGCCCACCTTCTACAAGAGGATATCTGTTAATCTCTGTATGGATCTCCAGTTTTTTGCCAGCACAATGTCTATAAATGATGGCCCAAAGGATGACAAGCGTGGTGAGTCATTCAAGAGCCAGTTCTATTCAGCAGAGTTTTAATGTTGAGTGCATTTAGCTCTCTTCTAATTCACATAAAGTTGATAATGATGGATTTATTGCTTTTTATGTGATGGTACACACCAGGATAGGATGTCAGTTTTTCTATTTCCAGAAGGTGTTTCCCACATTCACTTGAATAAACTAACTTTCTAATATGGTTTGGCTGTGTCCCCACCCAAATCTCATCTTAAATCATTCCCCACTTGTCTTGGGAGGGACCCAGTGGGAGGTAATTGAATAATGGGGGCAGTTACCCTCATGCTGTTCTCATGATAATGAGTGAGTTCTCATGAGATCTGATGATTTTTATAAGGGGCTTCCCCCTTTTGTTCAGCACTTCTCTTTCCTGCTGCCATGTGAAGAAGGACGTGTTTGCCTCCCCTTCTGCCATGACCGTAAGTTTCTTGAGGCCTCCCCAACCATGCTGAACTATGAGTCAGTTAAACCTCTTTCCTTTATGAATTGTCCAGTCTCAAGAATTTCTTCATAGCACCATGAGAGTGAGAATGAATTAATACAATTTTCCATCACCATTCAACAGCCATTTCCTACCCTTCAAAGATTATACAGCATGTCATTAGAGATATATATATATATCCAAGTGTATATATATAAATATATACATATCCAGATATATATATCTAAATAAATATATCCAGATAGATAGATAGATAGATAGATAGATAGATAGATTTTTTTTCTTTCAGAGTCTCACTCTGTTGCCCATCTAGAGTTCAACAGCACAATCTTGGTTCACTACAACCTCCGTCTCCCAGATTCAAGCAATTTTCTTGCCTCAGCCTCCCGAGTAGCTGGGATTTCAGTCACATGCCACCACACCTGGTTAATTTTTGTATTTTTAGTAGGGACAGGGTTTCACCATGTTAGTCAGACTGGTCTTGAACTTCCGACCTCAACTGATCCGCCCACCTCAGCCTCCCAAAGTGCTAGGATTACAGACGTGAGCCACTGTGCCTGGCCTGTCATTGTATTTCTAAGCTAACAAGTATTTGGAAACTATAAACTGTAGTTCTTGTTTTCTCTTTTTCCTTTGTCATGTTATTATTCCTTTATCTTCGCCTGGATTTCTGGGTGACATGAATATCTAGAACTATGTCCAAAAGTAAAAATGCCATGTGACAGCGACCCACAATGTTGTGACCATGTCAATTTTTAAACCATCTTTATTGAGGTATAATTCACATAATGTAAACTGTGCCCATTTTAAGGGTACAGTTCAATTATTTTTGACAAATGTATAATTTGTGAAACCTCCATCCTAGTAAAGACAAATATAGAACATTTCATCACCCAAAAAGTTCCCTTATGTCTCTTTGCAGGCATCCACCCACGCCTGGCTCCAGGCAACCACTAATCTGTTTTCTATCAATAGAGATTAATTGTGCCTGTTCTGGAGTTTGATATAAATGGAATCATATGGTATACACTCTTTTGTGCCTGGTTTCTTTAGCTCAGCATAAGCCTTTGACATTTATCCATCTTATTGTGTATGTTGATACTTGTTCCTTTTTATTGCTGAAAATCATTCAATAGCTGTACCATAATTTGTTCATTCATTCCCCCTTTTGATGAACATTTGGATTATTTTAGTTTTTGGCTATTTTAAGCAAAACTGCCAAAACAAATGTGTACAAGCCTGTGTGGACATATGCTTTCAGTTCTCTTGGGCAAATACCTAGAAGAGGAATTGATGGTAAACATATGCATAACTTCATAAGAAACTACCAAAGTGTTCCCCAAAAAGATTGTATCATTTTACATTAATTCTGGTTGCTCTAGATCCTCACCAACTTTTGCTGTTGTCAGTCTTTTCAACTGTAGTCATTCTAGTGGGTTTGTCAGTGAATGTCCCTCTTGTTTTAAATTGCATTTCCCTAATGATGAAAGATGAGCATGTGGTCATATGCTTATTGGCTTATCTGTATGTCTTCTTCTATAGTGTCCAAATCTGCTCTTTTTATTGGGTTGTTTGACTTCTTACTATTGAGCTATAAGAATTATTTTTATATTCTGGATATAATCATGTGTCAGATGATGTATTATAAATTTTTGTCTCCAGTCTGGAATCAACTTCCAACAGTATAATTCCATTTACCTACCAACCCTTGTTCTTCATGCTATCATTGCCATATCTTTTATTTCCATAAATGTTGTAAAAATCTCATTACAACGTTATTAATTTTGCTTTAGTAGTAGGTTCACTTTTGAGAAAATTATGAGAACAAATAATATTTTCTTGTAAATAAACCCTCTTATTTACCATTTCTGGAGCTTGTCTTTCCTCCCTTAAATATGACTTTCCTTCTGTATCATTTCCTGTTAGCCTAAATAATTTAGCTTGTCTCATGTTGCAGGTCTGTTAGTGATGAATTATTTAAGCTTTTACTTATCTGAAAATGTCTTTATTTCACCCTAGTTATTGAAATATATTTTCACTGGATATAGAATTGTGGGTTAACAAGGTTTTTCTTTGTTTCTTCTTTGCTTTTGTTCCTCACTTTAAACATGCCATTCTTAAGGCTCTACTTATTTTTATTCACATTAGTTCATCTCTGTGTTTCACATCAGAGAAGACTTTCAGTTCTAGAGTGAACTGAATGTGGAGTTCAACGTGGAGATTTTCCTAGGCAGAAAGACAACAACGTGAGGTATATCTCATGAGTTTCTCTTAGGGATCATGATTTGTGTTGCCTTTTTCCTGATGTTTGACAATAGCTGCTTCATATATAGACATATATATATATATGTATATTTCCATTTATCTGCTGAAATTCCCTATCTACTTACTCACTAAGACCCTAGTTTCATTGATTTCTTTTGTTCTTGACTGTGGATCACATTTTCCTGTTTCTCTACATATCTAGTAATCTTT